AGCCCCCAGCTCCTCCTACCCTCAGACCAGAAGTCCAGACCCCAGCCCTCCTCCTCAGATCCAGGAGTCCAGACCCCCAGCCCTCCTCCCTCAGACCAGGGGTCCAGCCCCCCAGCCCCTCCTCCCTCAGACCCAGGGGTCCAGGCCCCCGGCCCCTCCTCCCTCAGACCCAGGGGTCCAGGCCCCCAGCCCCTCCTCCCTCAGACCCAGGAGAGCGGGCCCGCGCCTCAGTCCTCCGCATGCCGACACTCACCACGGTTGCCATGATGCTCCCCAACCGCTAAGACCCTAACGGAAACGGAAACGTGCTAAGAACGAGGCGATCGGGCCCCTCTAGGCTGTCAGGTCCTCCACAGATCTCGGTGGTTCCTCCTAAACATGCAAACTCTCCTTGTAGGGCGAGCCGCCACTTTTTTAGGCCGAAACTCCTGGGCCAGTTCCCAGCTCCTCCTGGCCCCTCCTCCTTTTACCCAAGCCTCCTTGCCGAGGCCGATTGCAAAATTCTTGCCACTTCTGTGAGCAACCACACGTCCCCCACGCTCCCTTTCCTCCTGATTCCACCCACTTTCCTCCCCCCGGCAATCTAGGCCTCAAGCCCCGGATTGACAGCGCTCACGACCAATCATCTCGCGCAGCCACAGCCAAGGGGCGGAGCGAGCCCCGTGCTGTCCGCCAATGAGAGACGTGGGAACCCCGCCCCCGGGCGCTGACCAATGGCGCTGGCCGGGGGGGCGGGCGCCGCCTCCTGGCGGCCGCAAGGTCTCACTGCAGGGGGCCCCGCGGGGCTCAGTGCTGCTGCGGCCGCCTCCTGCTCAGGTCCGGGGGTGCGGTCGTGCAATAGGAAGCCGAGGGCGTTGCAAGCTTCCCTTCGGGCACCAGCTACCTGGCTCCACGTCCTGTCGGGTGCATTCCACAGACACCCCCGGATCCTCCACCTGTGGCCCCTAGAACTCCCTGCCCGCGTCCGCCATGCCTCTCAGCCGCACTTTGTCCGTGTCCTCGCTGCCGGGACTGGAAGATTGGGAGGATGAATTCGACCTGGAGAACACGGTGCTCTTCGAAGTGGCCTGGGAGGTGGCCAACAAAGGTGAGCGCGCCAGGCGGCGGGGCCCGGGCGAGAAGAGCAGTCGGGGATGGGGGGCCGGGGACTCTTGAGGGATAGGGGGCCGGGACTCCACACCATCCATGACTTTTGGGTTCTGGGCAAGGAGCCTGTGACTCATGTGTCCTTGGGGAGGGTCTGGGATCTGTCTCCGGAGCCCTGGAGGGATGGAGATGGGTCTCCTGACTGCGAAGATAAAAGGAGGCTGGGAGTCCGGTCCTGGGTCCGAGGGGAGAGGGGTTAACCTGAGAGATTCCTAGGCCCCAGAGGGAGGTTTCTGAGAGACCCGGGGTCCTGAACAGGGAAGGCGATGGGGGATTGGAAATTCTTAGAAATGGCTGAGTTTCAGACCTGGATTTGGGAGAGAGCTGGCTGGGAAATAGAATGCATAAGTCGTGCTGGGAGAATGGGTGGACTGGTCACTCGGGAGTAAGACTGGGAAAGGACCGGAGGCCCTAATTCTTAATCCTAGGGTGGGAGGGGGTTGGGCACCTTAATGCCTAGGCTCTGAATGAGCCGAAGGCCTGAACTATGGGTTCCTGGAAGTAGAGGAGCCAGTGGCCACAGAGAGTTGGAGACTGGAATGAGGGAAGGCTGGGAAGTCCTAAGTTGGTCAGGGGCTGGGCCCTGGGATGGGAGTGGCTGGGGCCCTAGATTTCTGTGTCCGGGGCTTCAAAGGGCCTGAGATTCCGGCTGTGGAGAGCCAGGTGGGGCAGGAAGCCCAAGAGCTGGGCAGTCTTGCTCCTCCGAAGAGAGGGCGGTGGGGTTTTTTTTTGCTTAGCTGAATCTTGGGAGGGAAAGGGACTGGGTCTTCCCCCATGGGAGGGGCCTGTGAACACAGAGCCATGTGTCAGGAGGTGAGGAGGCTGGGGGCCCAGGCTCCCGGGTCTGGAGTGGAGTCCCGGGAGGGGCAGGGTCCCATCTGCCCGTTGGCGAGAGGAGACTGGGGGATAGGTCAGCAGGGCCCCTGGGGGCAAGGAATGACAATTCCAACTTTCCTTAGGCAATTATGGGAAGCTGAGTAGGGCCCTGCCGTGCCTAGAGCCTGGGGGAGAATTTACACCCAGCTCCTGTGAGCTGAGACCTGGGGAACTGGGTCCTGCTAATCCTCTCAGCTTCTGTCATCCTTGGGGCCACAGCCCCTAATTCCTTCAGACCCAGGAGCTCAGGCCCCCAGCCCCTCCGCTCAGACTCAGAAGCCTAGCCCGAGCCCCCTCCTCCCTCAGAGCTCCAACCCCAGCCGCCTTCTCCCTTCGGCCCTGGAGGACTTGTCCTCCAGCTCCCACATCCTCCTCCCTCTGGCTCTGATGGATGGGTTCCCGGTCCCCTGATCCCTCTAAGCCAGAAGTCGGGGGCCCCAGCGCCTCCCGTGACCCCCCTCCCACCCACCCTGGCCCAGGGCTCAGGCCTGTGGACCTCAGCTGGGCCTGTCCTCCTGGGTTTGGGCCCACAGTGGGCGGCATCTACACGGTGCTGCAGACGAAGGCGAAGGTGACAGGAGATGAGTGGGGCGACAACTACTACCTGGTGGGACCGTACACGGAGCAGGGCGTGAGGACCCAGGTGGAGCTGCTGGAGCCGCCGACCCCGGCTCTGAAGAGGACGCTGGACTCCATGAACAGCAAGGGCTGCAAGGTGGGCAAGGGCTCCGCCCAGGGCAGGTAGGTGGGTGCCCGCAGTCAGGGTGGGAGCAGGTGGAGAAAGGGGGTGGGGGGGGAGTATACAGCCCCAGGCAGAGAGGGAGGCATGGACAGAACACGGATGACCTGGTACTCCCGCAGGCATACACAGAGGTGGTATGATTGACACTCAGACAGATGCAGGACCCCATGAAGTGGGTGGATGCACCCCAAGCTCTGAGACGTTGGTAAAGAGGCAGACAGACGGTAGGTACAAGACAGACTGAAGGACGGTTCCAAGAGGCCACGATCCTCAGACCCAGAGAGAGGAAAAGAGCTGGACGCAGGGAAGGACAGGCGGCCAGAACCCGGGGGAGGCGGGCTTGGAGGAGGGAGGTGGCCGGAGGAGGTGTTCCACAGCCTGGCGTTCACCTTTGGCTTCTCCACTTCCTGTCCATGTGACCTTGGCCAACAGCATCTACCCGATGGGGCTGTGGGCGGATGAAATAGTGGATACATTCTTCTGCTCTGTTCTTGGCATGAACTTAGCGCTGTGGGTGAGCTATTATAGTTGTGGTTATTATTATCACCATCATCATTATTTCTATAAACAGCCGGGCTTGCAGACAAGGGAGAGAGATGGATGGAGAGACAGTGAGTGACCCAAAAGGTGATGGTGCCTCCCCCCCCCCCCCCCCTCCCCCCGGGATTAAAGCAATTAAAGAAAGAGACAGAATCTAAATACAGAAAAAAGGCAACCCAATGTTTCAAAAAAAAAGGCCCCAAAAGAAAAAGGAAAATGGAATACTGATGAAAGGTGGAAAGGCTGGGAGGGAGACCCAGGGGATGGAATTTTGGTGACAGAACCCGGGATTAAAGAAAAAAAGGGAGCCCGGGTGGGGTGGCTGCTCACTGGTTGAGCGTCGACCTATGAACCAGGAGGTCACAGTTCAGTTCCCGGTCAGGGCACATAAAGGGTTGCGGGCTTGATTCCCAGTGTGGGGCGTGCAGGAGGCAATCAATCATTGGTTCTCTCTCATCATTGATGTTTCTATCTCTCTCTCCCTTCTCCATTCCTCTCTGAAATCAATAAAAATATTAATATATATATATACTTTTTATTGATTTCAGAGAGGGAGAGAGAGATTGAAACATCAATGATGATAGAGAATCATGGATCGGCTGCCACCTGCACGCCTCCTACTGGGGATCGAGCCCGAAACCCAGGCATGTGCCCTTGACTGGAATCGAACCTAGGACTCTTCAGTCCACAGGCCGACGCTTTATCCACTGAGCCAAACCAGCTAGGGCAGTGGTTGGCAAACCACGGCTCTCGAGCCACATGCGGCTCTTTGGCCCGTGGCATGGGCCACGAAATTTCAATCGCACTGCACGTGCACGCCCGCACGTGGTATTTTGTGGAAGAGCCACACTCAAGGGGCCAGTTTGCCGACAGCTGAGCTAGGGCAGTAAAAAAAATATTATTTTTAAAAAAAGAGAGAGGAGGGGAGAGTCCCAGGGCTCCAGGTGAGGGCTGGAGGGTGAGCATAGAGAGGTGGCCGCCGCCCCAGGAGAGGGCTGGGAGGCAGAGGGCTGAAGGACGGACAGATCGGGAGGGAGAGGTACAGTGGTTTCTTCATTCATTCACAGCTTCTGCTTTGGGGTGGGGTCTGGAGCCCATTCAGCCCAGAGGTGTCCCGAAGGAACCCTAGAGCAACCCAGCCCTCCCCCTATGGCAGCTGCTCCCCACGTGCTGGGGGCCTAAGAATAGGCCCCCCGGCAAAAGGGCAGACAACAGCTGGGAGGGGGAGGGGCGTGGGGTCAGGCTCCCGGGGCTGGGAAGAACCAGGCTGGGGAGGCGGGTGGCCGCCCGTCAGCTGGATGGCGCTGCGGCAGCAGGCCCAGGACCCAGGCCATGGTCTCGGGAGGAAAAGAACCAGACCAGGAGAATGTGGCGGGGGCAGAAATGAGGCAGCGAGGCTTAGAAACGTGGCAGTGGGTAGAAAAACGCAGCTCTGCGACGGGGAAAGAGCTGACGGTGGCAGAAATGTGGCTGCAAAGTACAGCAGGAGCCTAAGGGCAGAGGAAAGAGGCGACAGGTGACACATGTGGTGGAAGAGTCAGAAACAAGGCAGCAGGTGGAAGAAATGTGGCAGCGAGAACAGCAAAAGCAGCATCCTGGGGGAGGAGTAAGCAGCAGGAAGGAAAGATCCTGGCAGAAAGCATCTTGGTGGTCAAGGAGAGAGATGTGGCAGCAGACAAGCAAGGCTGAAGGTCCGAGTAATGGTTAGCAGGGGGGGCACAGGGACAGGACTGCGAAAGTGTGGTTAGAAGGAGAGGAGAGGCAGCAGGTGGGCGAGAGCAGCAGTTACAGAATCGAAGCAAGGGACTGGAAAAGCGTGGCAACAGACATGGACAAGATTGTGGTGGCACCCGGCCGGCGTGGCTCAGTGTTTGAGTGTCAACCTATGAACCCAGAGGTCACGGTTCGATTCCTGGTTGGGGAACATGCCCGGGTTGCCGGCTCGATTCCCAGTGTGGGGCATGCAGGAGGAGGGTGATCAATGATTCTCTCATCATTGATGTTTCTCTCTCCCTCTCCCTCTCCCTTCCTCTCTGAAATCAATAAAAATATTTTTAAAAAGAAAAGACTGTGGTGGGCCCTGGCTGGTTTGGCTCAGTTGGTTGGAGCATCGTCCCCGTACTGAAAGTTTGATTCCAGGTCAGGGCACGTGGCTAGGTTGTGGGTTCAACCCGCTCAGTACACGTAGGGGAGGCAACCTATCAATGTAACTCTCTCACCTCGATGTTTTGCGCTCTCTCTCGCCCCTCCTCCCTCTCTAAAATCAGATTGCCCGGCTGGCGTGGCTCAGTGGTTGAGCATCGCCTGTGAACCACGGTTTGATTCCTGGTTGGGGCTTGATCCCCAGTGTGGGGCGTGAGGGGGCAGCCTATCAATGATTCCCTCTCATCATTGATGTTTCTGTCTCTCTTCCCCTCTCCCTTCCTCTCTGAAATCAATTTAAAACATTTTTTTTTAAAAAAAGATTGTGGTGGGAATAACAAAGCAAATAGAGAAATAAGGCAGCGGATGAGAAGTTAGCAGCAGATGCAGAAACCGGGTGGGGGAACCGAGGCAGGAAGCCCAGACATCTCTGCTAGTGGAAGAAGCAGGGATGCTGTGCCCGGAGACTGTGGTCACAGCCCTAAGCCTCCCTGTGGGTCTCCCCAGGTGTATTTTGGGCGCTGGCTGATCGAAGGGGGCCCCCTGGTGGTGCTCTTGGATGTGGGAGCGTCAGCCTGGGCCCTGGAGCGCTGGAAGGGGGAGCTCTGGGACACCTGCAACATCGGGGTGCCCTGGTACGACCGCGAGGCCAACGACGCCGTCCTTTTTGGCTTCCTCACCACCTGGTTCCTGGGTGAGGTAGGTCCCATCGCTGGTCCCCATGTCACTCCTTTTGGCCCCAGGTCTCCAACTACAGTGACCATCAGCCCCTGGACAGAAGGGTCTGGGTGGGGACAGAGGGGAACTGGGCATTCTAGGAGTTGTGGGTCCTCTAACCAAAGGATTAGCTCTTATCTTTGGAAACATGGATGCCCAAGGACTCAGACTCTTTTCCCTCAGAGACCCAAACGCCCAACCTCAGCCTTATTCACTCTAACCTCCCCCGTTAGGGAATTCTGAGCCATTAGTTCTTGGAGAGGTCGGCCTGGCTGGAGAGCTCGCCCGGGGAATTCTGGGAGTTGTAGTTCTCCAGTCTGACAGTGGTTGGACTTTCAGGTGGAGCCCTGGATGTTTGGGACACGCCAGCCTATGTCTGAACCAGGAAACTTGGTTCTGATCCCCTTTTAGGTCTTAAAAGGCTCAAGAAACTTCATTTCCCATGCCCTGGGGGAAAACAATTTATGAACTGGCTGCTTCTCGGGCATTCTGGGAGTTGTAGTCCTTTCGCCGCTATTGAAGGCAGGTCTATTCGTGATTGAGAACGAGGGTCTCTAGGAATTGTGTCCAGAAACTTGGGGACACGAAAACTTCAGTCTTTCCGATTCAGCCTTGCTGAGACTTAGAAGGTTGGCCAAAATAACCCCAGCTCCCATCAGCCTCAGCTGGCCCGGCTGCCTCAAAAATGTATGGTTTCTCGTCTTCTGGGGGTTGCAGTGGGCCGCCATTCGCTCGGTGCAGAGGTTGCGATAGATTTACTTTCCCGCTGCTGCCTCCTCCACCTTGGGGATTGCTGATGGATTGTCTTCACAACCCGTGGAGACACAGCGGCCCTGTTCCTGTTGCCCCACAGTTCCTGGCCCAGAGCGAGGAGAAGCCACACGTGGTGGCACACTTCCACGAATGGCTGGCGGGGGTCGGGCTCTGCCTGTGCCGGGCCCGGCGGCTGCCTGTGGCCACCATCTTCACCACCCACGCCACGCTGCTGGGGCGATACCTGTGTGCCGGTGCCGTGGACTTCTACAACAACCTAGAGAACGTGAGCTGGGGGTGTGGCCATGGGGGGGCAGCCAGTACTTCAGGACAGCCCAGAGCTGTCTGCAGAGCCCTAGGGCAGCGGTTCTCAACCTGTGGGTCGCGACCCCTTTGGGGGTCAAACGACCCTTTCACAGGGGTCGCCTAAGACCATCGGAAAACACATATATAATGACATATTGTTTTTGTGATTAATCACTATGCTTTTTAAAAAAATATATTTTATTGATTTTTTACAGAGAGGAAAGGAGAGAGATAGAGAGAGTTAGAAACATCGATGAGAGAGAAACATCCGATCCGCCGCCTCCTGCACATCTCCTACTGGGGATGTGCCCGCAGCCCAGGTACATGCCCTTGACCGGAATCGAACCTGGGACCTTTCAGTCCGCAGGCTGACGCTCTATCCACTGAGCCAAACCTGTTTCCGGCAATCACTATGCTTTAATATGTTCAATTTGTAACAATGAAAATGCATCTGCCTATCAGATATTTACATGACGATTCATAACAGTAGCAACATTACAGTTATGAAGTAGCAATGAAAATAATTTTATGGCCGAAAACGATTTGGCTCAGTGGATAGAGCGTTGGCCTGCAGACTGAAAGGTCCCAGGTTTGATTTCGGTCAAGGGCATGTACCTGGGTTGCGGGCACATCCCCAGTAGATGTGCAGGAGGCGGCTGATCGATGTTTCTCTCTCATCGATGTTTCTAACTCTCTATCCCTCTCTCTTCCTCTCTGTAAAAAAATCAATAAAATATATTTAAAAAAAAAAAAAAAGAAAGAAAATAATTTTATGGTTGGGGGTCACCACAACATGAGGAACTGTATTAAAGGGTCGCGGCATTAGGAAGGTTGAGAACCACTGCCCTAAGGGATTGGGCTTCAGGACCCAGGAGTCCCACATCCCCAGAGCCCTCCTCCCTAAGACCCAGGCGTCCAGCCTCCAGTCTCCCCCAGGTCAACAGAGTCTGAACGTCCAGGCTTCCACCCAATTCTCCGAACCTGAGCGCCCTTTCTTCCCGCCCAGTTCAATGTGGACAAGGAAGCAGGCGAGAGGCAAATCTATCACCGCTACTGCATGGAGCGGGCAGCAGCCCACTGCGCTCATGTCTTCGCTACCGTGTCCCAGATCACCGCCATCGAGGCTCAGCACCTTCTCAAGAGGAAACCAGGTAGGTAATAGGCTGGGATCCCTAGACATGAATGAGGTAGTTGGTTCCCTATGCCAAGGCCCGCACCAAATTTTTTTTTTTTTTTTTACTGTAAAGAGCAGAGAACTACAACTCCCAGAAGGCCCTAGGTTGGTGATCTGGATATGAGGTGACCTGTACACCCTAGAGCAGCGATTCTCAACCTGTGGGTCCCGACCCTTTCACAGGGGTCGCCTAAGACCATCGGAAAACACATATATAATTACATATTGTTTTTGTGACGAATCACTATGCTTTCATGATGTTCAATTTGTAACAATGAAATTGGGGGTCACCACAACATGAGGAACTGTATTAAAGGGTCGCGGCATTAGGAAGGTTGAGAACTGCTGCTCTAGAGGCTAATGGAAGGTGTCGTTTCTTTGACGTTAATTTCAGAAATTGTAAAATTCTTCTATTGGCTATCGTAGGTGTTGTTCTTCTGAAAGGGGACGGGAAGTTCTTTGGATTTTGTTTTCGAGAAAAGCAGTATTTGAACCATTTATTGCCCTAGCCAGTTTGGATAGAGCATCGGCGGGTGAACTGAAAGGTCCCAGGTTCGATTCTGGTCAAGGGCACATGCCTGGGTCGTGGGCTCGATCCCCAGTGGGGGACTTGTAGGAGGCAGCCGATCCATGATTCTCTCTCATCATGGATGTTTTTATCTCTCTCTCTTTCTCTTCCTTCCTCTCTGAAATCAATTATATATATATATATATATATATATATATATATATATATATATATGATAAAGAACCACTTATTTTTCCCAGACTATATCATCAATTTTCAATGGATGTAAGTTGAGAACTACAGCTTCTAGAAGGTCTTTGGCTGGTCAGCTCCTTATGTTCCTAGAATTTCTTCCCAGGAGCTGATGGGGGTTGTAGTTTTTCAACGATGTGCTTTCATTTTTGTGAGGATAGAAAGTGGTTGGGACCCTCAAAGAGGCTTGAAGGTAGGAGGGTGTATTCTGGGAGCAGAAGCAGGATGGAGATGTCTAATCATTTCCAGCCCAGGGAAGTATAGGGCCAACGAAACAACCGCAACTCCCAGAAACCCCAATGTAGATGATTAGTTCCCTGCCTGGTTCGCCACTTGCAGAGGCTGATGGGAGTTGTAGTTATTGGGCAAGAAGGCGGCTGAGTGGCAGGGCAGCTGGGTCACCAAGGGAACACACAGGGGAACGGCTGAAACAAAGACGTTACAAAAGGAAAGGGGTCTTTCCTTCGATGATTCATTCGGCCACATCGATCTGAATGAAGACATGAAACCTGGGCCCTTCTCCCCCATTCCCAGATATTGTGACCCCCAACGGACTGAACGTGAAGAAGTTCTCTGCCATGCACGAGTTCCAGAACCTCCACGCTCAGAGCAAGGCCCGGATCCAGGAGTTTGTGCGGGGCCATTTTTATGGGTATGTGGGCCAGATACCTCGGTCTCTAGAGAGGAGGGGTCGGGAGCTCAGCCTCTCCAGTTCCTGAGCGCCAAGAGCAATGGCTGGGTGTCGAAGGATCTTAGATCCCCATCCAAGGAGAAAAGAACCCCAAATCTCAGGAGTCTCCACGATGCCTCCACACTGACTATGATGACCTTTGCCCCTGCAGCTTCTGGGGTTGGCAGCCTCGAGGCCAGGACTAGGGGGGAGGGGGGGTCTCGGCTTCACCCTGCCTCATGGCTTCTTTAGGCACCTGGACTTCAACTTGGACAAGACCTTGTACTTCTTCATCGCCGGCCGCTACGAGTTCTCCAACAAGGGGGCCGACATCTTCCTGGAGGCCTTGGCCCGGCTCAACTATCTGCTCAGAGTAAGTCCTGGGCTGCGAGGGGGCAGAGGGAGGACCAGCAAATCCGTACATACGGGCAAGAACAGAGACCCAGGCCGGTGGGGGTGGGGAATCCGCTGTGGGAAGTAGAGAAACCCAGAAAGAAGATGGAGTCGCAGGGGGCATGATAACTCATCCTATACTTCTTTTCTTATTTTTTAAAAATATATATATTTTTCACCCTAACTGGTTTGGCTCAGTGGATGGAGCATCAGCCTGGGGACTGAAGGGTCCCAGGTTTGGTCCAGTCGAGGGCATGTACCTTGGTTGTGGGCACATCCCCAGTGGGGGGGTGTGCAGGAGGCAGCTGATCAATGTTTCTCTCTCATTGATGTTTCTAACTCTCTATCCCTCTCTTTTCCTCTCTGTAAAAAATCAATAAAAATATATTTTAAAACTATATATATATATATTTTAAATTTATTTCAGAGAGGAAAGGAGAGGGAGAGAGAGAAGCATCAATGATGAGAGAGAATCATTGATCGGCTGCCTCCTACTGGGGAATCGAGCCCGCAACCTGGGCATGTGCCCTGCCTGGGAATCGAACCGTGACCTCCTGGTTCAGAGGTCAGTGCTCAACCACTGAGCCACGCTGGCCGGGCTGTCCTATACTTCTCCTTGACAGGAAGGGGCGTGGCAGGGTCCCAGCCGTCTCAGTGGGTGGAAGAAGGTGAGTGGCCTCAGCCTCCTCCCCCCTTTCCTGTCCTGCAGGTCAACAACAGTGAGCAGACCGTGGTCGCCTTCTTCATCATGCCCGCGCGGACCAACAACTTCAACGTGGAAACCCTCAAGGGCCAGGCGGTGCGCAAGCAGCTTTGGTCAGCAGCCCCGGCCGGGACCCCAGTTGTGTGCTTCAGGCCCAGTGTTCCTCCCGGAGTCTCGCTTTTGTCCTGTGTCACATGGTCGAACCTGCCCCACCGACTTTCCTAGTGAAGTCGCTTGCTTAAGATGCCTCCTCCGGGGAGCAGTAAGAAGTCTCGGGCGGTCCAAGTGTGGCAACACGGCCAGGGCTCTGATATCAAACCACTGAGGTCTAACTCATGCCACTTGCTGGCTTTCTGGCTTTAGGCAAACCACCACCCCTCTCTGAGCCTCCGTTTCCCCATTTGTGAAGCCCATTCGTTAGCAATCCCATGTGCAGTGAGCACCTGTTGTGTGCCAAGCACTGTTCCAGGCCCTGGGAACACAGCTGGGAGCAAAAGAGATAAAAATCCCTGCCCTCATTGAGCTCTCTTTCTAGAAAATTCTATAGAAAGCGCTCTTGGGAGAGGGGGTGAGAAGCAGCACAGGAATAATGAGACAGGGTTGTCAGGACAGGCCACGCTGCGAAAGTGCCATTGGGTAGAGACCAGTAGAGGAAATGAGGGAGGAAGCCCTGTGCGTATCTGGGGAACAGCACGTGCAAAGGCCCTGGGGTCTGTATGAGACGCAGTGAGGAGACCCGTGGGGCTGGCGCCGAGTGCCCTAGGCCAAGAGCCTAGAAAATGAGGCCAGGGCGAGGGGAAGATTATGAACAGAGGGATGCCCATGGGGCTGTAGGGCGGCACTATTTGCTAGCCTTATTTGTGTACGTAAATTTTATCCTCTCAACATAATCTTCCTTTTTTATAAAACGGGGCTCAGCATGGCTACCACCAGGACCAGGACAGGCTCTAAGAATAGCTGACATTTCTGGAAGGCGCGCTGTGTGCTGGGCACTGTGTACTTTTAGTCATGACCTCATCAAGTTCTCCCCGCACACCTCTAAGGTTCGTTCTATTTTTACCTCCCTCTTCCTGACGAGTCCCTGAAGTCAGAGAGGGAAGGCCACCTGTCCCCGGACACACAGCTGATGCGAGGCCCAAGGCATCCGAGCCTTCCGGGACCCGTTCCCTGGGTCCCCATCCTCCAGCCCGGAGTCCCCGGGGGCTTCTCTGCTCAGACCTCCGTTTCGTGGCTGCCCCCCAGAAACCTCACAGCAAATGGCTGGTGTACACGTGATCTTGTTCTGCTCTTTCCAGGGATACGGCCAACACGGTGAAGGAGAAATTCGGAAGGAAGCTTTATGAATCCTTGCTGGTGTGAGTGCCCCTCCCTCAGCCCTGGGTGGCCCTGGGTCCTAACCCCTCTCTTCACCCCTCCTCAGATGCATTCCCCTGTCCACCCTGCAGGGGGAGCCTCCCAGACATGAACAAGATGCTGGACAAGGAGGACTTCACGATGATGAAGAGAGCCATCTTTGCCACGCAGGTACTCGGACCCCTGAGCAGAGGAATGGCAGTCCCTTGCAGCCCCAGAGGCAGCTGACCAAGTTAGTTCTGACCCCAGAGATTGCTGGCAGTTCTGAGGTTCAGAAAAGGGTGTGAGCTGACTGGTGGGACTTCAATTCCCAGAAGCCCTTCAGGCAGCCCGCTTTCCCATGACGTCTTCTGCCTCATGGGGCTGTTGGGAGTTGTAGTTTCTTTGCATCCCCACGGTCAGTGGACATTAGGTGAAGGGGAACATAAGTCAAGAGAGCTACAGCCCTGACCGGTTTGGCTCAGTGGATAGAGCGTCGGCCTGCGGACTGAAGGGTCCCAGGTTCGATTCCGGTCAAGGGCATGTACCTTGGTTGTGGGTGCATCCCCAGTGGGGGGTGTGCAGGAGGCAGCTGATCAATGTTTCTAACGCTCTATCCTTCTCCCTTCCTCTCTATAAAAAATCAATATAATATATATAAAAAAGAGAGCTACCAGCCCTAGCCTGTTTGGCTCAGTGGATAGAGTGTCAGCCTGTGGACTCAAGGGTCCCAGGTTCGATTCTGGTCAAGGGCATGTACCTTGGTTGCGGGCACATCCCCAGGAGGGAGTGTGCGGGAGGCAGCTGATCGATGTTTCTCTCTCGTCGATGTTTCTCTCTCGTCGATGTTTCTAACTCTCTATCCCTCTCCCTTCCTCTCTGTAAAAAATCAATAAAATATATTTTTTAAAAAAGAGAGAGAGCTACAAAAGGAGAACCGCAACTCCACCTCCGTCCCCAGAGGCTGCTAGGATCGGTAGTTTTGTTGGGCCTCTCTAGGGATAGTCAGGAGGTCAGCTAAAACACCTATAATTCTCTGAATATTGAAAATGCAGCAGTTGCCGTTTCAGAAAACTGTCAGACACCAAATGGAAACTACCATTCCCAGCAGCCCGTGGGTCTTTCTGCTTCCCTTGCCCCAGAGGCTTCTGGGAGTGAGAGTTCTTTCACTCTCTGGAGTCAAGGGTCTCTGGTACTTGTGGTCAGGGTTGGTGGATCATTTCCTGGGGAAGGGAAACCTCAACAGTCAAGCAGCACAAACAAGGGAAGAATTGTTTTTGGTCAAACTAATTCCCAACAGTCCCTAAGGCAGTGAGCATGTTTCTTCCTCGGGGCTGCTGGGAGTTGTAGTTTCTTGGTTTGCTGGTGTCAGTAGACTGAAGGCGTGTAGAACACTTAATGAGAGAAATGATGGAATATTAGCAAAAAAAACCTGAATATCCCAGCAGCACCCCCACCCCCCACCCCCCACCCCCGGGACTTCTGTCGCCCTGGCTCTATCTATCCTCCATTGGGGAACTGAAGAAAGAAATCAGGGGGGTACCCCTCTTGGGAATTGTGGTTTCTTTGGACCTCTGTGGGGGTGGAAGTGGAGGGAATTACAGGATAGAGAGTAAAGGGACTTGGAGAGAAAGAAATCTAGGATTTTCATAAGAAAATTGCAACTTCCAGCAGCCCCTGGAGCTTGACACAGCCTCTGTCCCCCTCCCAAAGTCCACTGGGGGACATTCGTTTCTTTGAATTTTTTTGATGATAAAGCCAAGACTACAGAACAAGATAGCTACAACTCCCTGTCGTCCCTGGGGCTGGTTAACGCTGGCTCTGCCTCAAAGACAGCTGGGAATTGTAGTTTATTTTTAGCTTATGATGGCTAAAAGGAAAAAAGAACCTTGACCGATAGAGCCAAGTAGGAAGTCTCTAACTCCTGGTCATCTCTTGGGCTGGTGGCCCCACAGCCTGGTGGGAGTTGTAGTCTCTTTGGATTCCCAAGTTCAGCATGTCCCTTCCCTGACCCCCACCCCACTTGTGGCCCCTGCAGCGGCAGTCTTTCCCCCCTGTGTGCACCCACAATATGCTGGACGACTCCTCAGACCCTATCCTGACCACCATTCGCCGAATTGGCCTCTTCAATAG